TGCCTCCTCCTCTCCTTGTCTCCTCTCTCCTTCATCCTCCTGGCCGCCGTGACCCAGACATCAGTCTCAGCACGCCATCTTGAAAGACAGTTCAATTCCTAAAATGCATCTAAATGAGCAAAATGGAAGAAGTTTATTCTGCACCTGTGAAGTATGAAAGAGGCACGACACACAGCTGGAATATACAACCCGTGGCGGGAGCAGGACTTTGTTCCCTTTGTATTCATAAGTTGTATCAGTTATTTAAAATGATGCTGATCATCAAATGCACAATCAAACTCTCTGCCCTCCATCGTTTGTGTAGCGCCTTGTAAGGTTTGTAGTAACAATTACTATTTGTATGTATGTTTATTATATTTTCATGTGTGTATATCTATGGGTAAATGCTCATTTGTATCCTACATTTAGGCAGCATCTACATATTTATTCAATTTATTTCTGTCAATGCAGAAAGTTAAGTGGGTTCAGCTTTGCCTTGGTACCTAGACCTGCCAAAAAATGTCTGTTGGTAGAAGAAAAGAAAACAGCCCACATTTCCTTAGACCTTTAGACCACTACTGACCTCAGAATCAGCTGCCCTGCCAGTCTCCTGCTTCTCTCTCAATCTCCTTAAATATCTTCCAATATCCACCTGGTCACTGAGTTGAAGGATAGCTTATACCAGTACAACAGCATTAACAGGAACACTATGAAATTTAGTTTTGACTGACAGCAACAGCCTGTGTGGACTGATATTGTGATGAAATACTCTAGATATAGGCTGTAAAAACCGCGCCGTCAATTCGGACTATTCTACCTGTGTGAGCTTACTGTGAGCTTAGTATGACTGATCTGATTTGCACAGAAGAAGAAAAATGCCACGAGATCAGGTTCCAACTTTGTGCAGCCAGAGAAAAGTAAGCTGCCTTGCTCCCGCAAGGTTTTAATGTCATGTGCAGTGGCGGCTGGCCAATAGAGGGCGCTAGGGTGCCGCCCTCCCTGGTGGTGGAAAGTGTTTTTCATTTTTGAAAAAAACACCACTTACTTTTTTAAGCACATATGTGTTTAAAATGCACAATAATGTGTAATATACAAAATGTAGGCTAAATAATTATGTTTGGGGGGGAAATTAGCTTCATGCTCATCCACTGATCTCTTCTGGGGTGCTAGAAATATCGCAGAGGCAGTACATTAGAGAAGCCAATTGTTGACACAAGATATGCCCATAGTGACATAAATTAAGCCAATCAGCGTCCTCGAATCTGATGCCTGAAGGATGATACATTTATCACCGTAAGCAGAGTCAGTCGGTGGTAGAGAGCAGAGATGGGGACTCAAGTTTGAGACTTGGACTCGAGTCTGACTTAAGTCGCACACACATTGACTTCAGACTTGACCTGAGACTCGTGAACAATGTTTATTCTGTCTGTTATTCCCCTCCCTACGTTACTTATAACCTGCCTACGTAACACGTAGTATCTGCTGCGCGCAGCCACACATGAGAGAGGACAACAAATCTATGTTAGCTTGCTTCTTGCTTTAGCCACGACCTACGGGAGGTTAACTCTGCCTGACGTTCCTTATGAAAAGATGAATGAGCGTTTGTTTACTTGCCAAACTTGTGGTGGTCGATTAACGTAATCATTTATGGCTGCAAAGAGGTTACAGGTTTATTGTTGATCATGTAACGCTACAGCTTTATTTAGTTAACGTTACATTGGGTTTGAGAGTCTGCGGGGTGTGTTGACTTACAGTGGTTTATAAGCTGTCATTAATTGCATTGCACATTACATGGTTGTGCTCTGTAAGTAAAAAACAGGTTATAAAATTCTAGCTCAGTAACTTGAGACTTGACTTGGAGTCTAGCTCAAAGACTTGAGACGTGACTTGGACTCTAGCTCAAAGACTTGAGACGTGACTTGGACTCTAGCTCAAAGACTTGAGACTTGACTTGGACTCTAGCTCAGAGACTTGAGACTTGACTTGGACTCTAGCTCAGAGACTTGAGACGTGACTTGGACTCTAGCTCAGAGACTTGAGACGTGACTTGGACTCTAGCTCAGAGACTTGAGACATGACTTGGACTCTAGCTCAGAGACTTGAGACATGACTTGGACTCTAGCTCAGTGACTTGAGACTTGTCTTGGACTCTTTCTCAGAGACTTGACACTTGACTTAGACTCTAGCTCAGAGACTTCCGACATGAATTGGACTCTAGCTCAGAGACTTGAGACTTGACTTGGACTCTAGCTCAGAGACTTGAGACGTGACTTGGACTCTAGCTCAGAGACTTGAGACTTGACTTGGACTCTAGCTCAGAGACTTGAGACATGACTTGGACTCTAGCTCAGTGACTTGAGACTTGTCTTGGACTCTTTCTCAGAGACTTGACACTTGACTTAGACTCTAGCTCAGAGACTTCTGACATGAATTGGACTCTTTCTCAGAGACTTGAGACGTGACTTGGACTCTTTCTCAGAGATTTGAGACGTGACTTTTAACTCTAGCTCAGAGACTTGAGACTTGACTTGGACTCTAGCTCAGAGACTAGAGATGTGACTTGGACTCTAGCTCAGAGACTTGAGACGTGACTTGGACTCTAGCTCAGAGACTTGAGACGTGACTTGGACTCTTTCTCAGAGATTTGAGACGTGACTTTTAACTCTAGCTCAGAGACTTGAGACTTGACTTGGACTCTAGCTCAGAGACTAGAGATGTGACTTGGACTCTAGCTCAGAGACTTGAGACGTGACTTGGACTCTTTCTCAGAGACTTGTGCGAATCTCTGGTAGAGGGACATCTGACGTTCTAAATTAGACAATGCTGAATGCGGAACTCAAGATACAGGCTTTCAGCTTTGGCCTTGAAGCTAGCCATGCTAGGCAGAATTAACATCGCTACAGAGCTGACAAAGGCCACAGGATTGGGGTGAGGAAACACAACGAAGAGGTGGATAAGAACTGGCACGATTTATCAAAGATAATTGTGTTTAACTCTGCGGGGCCTTTGAGCTGGCCATGCGCAGCCACAATGAGACAGAATCCTTTCACAACCCTGGCGTTTTCAGTAGAGCTTGTTGCCTTGCTGGACAGTGTGTTGGAGGAGCACCTTAAGACAGCTACCATTTTCAAAGGCACCTCAAAGACCATGCAAAACAAACTTTTGGACTGCATGCTGTCAGTCTTAAAGATTACATTCTGGAGGAAGAATATCTTGCTATTCAGGCTGATGAGACAACTGACATTTCCACCCACTGCCAGTTGGTGCTTGTGCTATGGTACATCGACAAGGAGAACAACAGCGGTTGGCTCCAGAGGTAAGCTGTGTAGTTTATAGGCAGCTCTGAAGTGTTAAGATGTGGTTATTTCCAGTGGTGGACTACTGTACTTAAGTACAAATTAGAGGTATTTGTACTTTACTTGAGTATTTTCTCGTCATGCCACTTTCTATGTTTATGTTCACTGTTGATGTTTTTGTGTAACAACTTTTTAATATTGGCATTAAATAATTTCTGTCTATTTCATGAAGCACTGGTGTCCTGCAGTTTGTGTTACATTGTATTGGGACGGTTACTGAAACTTACTGGATATGGCACAGCCCCACCTAAAATAGTTTTCACCAGCCGCCACTGGTCATGTGACATGGTGATGTTTTGCAGCACCAGCGAAAGTTGGACAACATTTCTAACCAGCATGCCCTATTTTAAGTCCAGCTTGCATCATGTTAAGTCAGCACTGCGCAGCACAGCTTTAAGTCAAACCATAGACTGTATGTAAGAAATGGACGTAGTCAGCGTGACGTTACCCATTGGTTTGTGGACTGCCGTTTTGAAGCCTCGAGTTTGGCCGATTGGTCGCCATGGTAACGACCTGCCAATCATGGATAATCCTGCCCTGAAACATACTCTGCTTTTTGGTCTATTTTTAAATAAATGGGATCATAATTTACTAAATGAACATCATTTTGTGTTGAAGAAGACTTGAAATTAGCAACCGAGATCATAAACTCATCAGCAAAGTGTTTACTGGGGTAATTATTCAGCTGAGAAGTATCATTTCCCCATTATTTCTAATGGAGCCGGACTTCTTTTTGCAGCCAGAAGAGTCGCCCCCTGCTGGATTTTCAATAGAATGCAGGTTTCAGGGACTTCCACATTCTCTTCATATTGTAGACCGGAAGCTTCCCGCACCTAATCTTCTTTCACCTTTCATCTGTGTGTGTCGCTGTGTGTGTAATAAGGGTAACGTTGCTCGGCAGAGAAGCAATGAAATGCAGCCTCCCCTAGAGGAAACAACCAGAATGCCAATTAAAAGTACAAATTATATTTGTATTATTATCATATTATCATATTTGTCAATATTATTGCTTTTCTTTGTTGAGTAGGGCTACATGTCTGCAGTGTAAAATAAAATAAAAACAAATCTTCTTATTATTATTTGCTGGGTTCAGGACCATTTTGGGGTAGCTTCAGCCCCCCTAAAATAGGCTTAACGACATCCATGGTGGTCTCATTTCATTAAATGCCTATTGCCTTGACTCCTCTGTTCACATGTCGAGTGGGAGGGACTAAGGCACAAGGAGAGGAGGAAAGGAATCGAGGATGTACAAACTAAGAAAGGCCTATGTTAACCGGGGCGGGACCACGGATTCAGCTGATGGCCACCATGCCATGTCACAGCCTTTCACATTAAAACTGTTTCCTGTGGGCTAGTTGGCCAGAGTGGCATTACTGTTGGCTGTACATTTACGGGCGGCTGAGTCCCTTCTTAAAGCATAGTTTTACAGAAGAGCCTTTACTGATTTTAGTTGAATTTAATTATCTATTTTTCTTTTGACTGTATTTTAATTTCATAACTTTTCTTCAAGGTTTTACCGTGTATCTCATTTTGTTCGCTTTTGTTTCTTTGGTCTTGTGAAAGCACTCTGCAACATTGTTTTGAAAGGGGCTCTATAAATAAAGATTATTATTATTATTATTTATATAAGTTGAAGTACGTACGTAAGTATTGTATTCCATTAAATCTTTGTTTGATTTGTTTTTATTTGAGCATTTTAAATCTTCCAGCTTTTATAAAAAAAACTAAAACAAATTTAAATACAGTATATATAAATTTATATAACAATGATTCACTTATTTTGGGTTAGTTCTGTTGCTCTGAAAAGGTGGGAGAATTAAGCACACTGTAGTTGCCGGGTGCAAATATTGTAGGAATAAATCATTAAAAAACATTGGCAATGAACACTCAAAAACATAATTTAACATAATCCAGTGTTTTGCAGAATTGTCCATCATCAACATTCTATATGGCTGAAGCGTCGCATACCCTTAACATTCACTTTCATTTGGACTTTCCCTTTTTTGCAACTCCACACAAATATCTACCCACTCACCCACATCCATCATGCTTTTTCCAATCATTCCAACTTGGGCTGTGACCACTAAGAACTTGTTTGTTGCTTCAGATCAAGCAGGAGACTTTGTCATACTGTACCCAAGCTGGATTTTAAATTGGGCTTACATAAAGTAACTGGCCAGAATTTATCCACTCAGCTGAATTCCACATGTTTGTGAAGTTTAAAAAATGTTTCTTCTCATTTCTTCAAGTGGTGATGTTATGTACATCCTGGATCAAAACAGACCCCAAATTGCATTTTAGTAATCTACACTGATCCCCAGCTGATTACGCTGCACAGGAGGCGAGGATGGAGATGTGATGTGGTTCACAGTGGGTGTTAGTCCGTTAACCACTGAGCTCCTCTCCTCAGTCTTTGTGACCGCTCCCAGAGATCGCACATGATGTCCCTCCGTGCAGTTACACTGCATCCATTTGTAGCTCTGCCTGCGCTGAAGTCTAGAGAGGACATGATAGCTCCAGGTCACAGAAGGGGGACCTCAGGCAGCCCAGCACATCCCCCAGACAGAGCTTCCTGGTCCCAGCCGCTAGGGCCTTTCTGGAACCCCATGACTGGCCTTCACCACTGCAACCAAGTCAGCTGTCCTGGAGAGAAGAGCAGGGATATTTGGTCATTTGTTTCTGCAAGTATGGCATTTTTGCCAAACCACTGTTCCTTCACTGCAATCTTGGTTTCATTGTGTTTAAACGATTATCTGACATAGTTAGATTAATGATGTAGGGAATGGTACATATGATCTTTACATATTATCATTATCATCTTTTCATTATTGCTCTACATGTTTATATCCTATTCTACATCTCTCCAGGGACTCCACATGATAAATAGCTGGCTATCTCCAGCACACTTGCAGCAATGTTTATTGATGTGCATGTCCCTGTTAACAAAAGTAAGAAATAAATTAAAAATACTGTAAATGACAAAAAATTAGGAAGTTGAGCTATTGTGACTGCTTCTCTTCAGTTTTTCAAAGCACACGTTTTATCAAAAGAAATAAAACAAAAAGAAAACAAACTTTGGAGGAACAAATGTAAAAGAATAAAGAAAATCACATGTTAATTAATTCTATAGAATACAAAAAAGTTCAAGGTTTCACACACGCATCCAGAAACTTTGATTACATTCAGCATAAACCATGAAATGACACATTTGGAGGGTGGGCAGTCGGTATTCAAACGCTCCAATCTAGTGGCCAAGACAGACACTGACGCAAAAATGTGATCAAAACAGCACTGTTGTTGTGAAATGTAAATGATCTTCAGCTGCTGCCTAGCTGATGTTGGCACGAGGCTTTTCTGCTTCCCACAGCATGCACATTAGGTACATCCCAAATCCCTTACTGCGTCCATGTTTCCCTCACTTCGTCCCTCCCACTGAAAATGCAAGGACAGACGAAACCAGGAAACATTTTTTTAGAGAAATGAGACATCCTTTACTTGTCATTTGAAGCAACGTCATTTATTACTGACCAGATCACAGCTGGATCCCCTGCACTCCTTAACCTTTGAGATTGTGTCGTCTCGTTAGGGTTCAAACCCTGAAGGAGTAGAACAGAACTCTGATAACAGTAGGTCCAATTGCTACCAAATTTTCCAGTGATCATTATTGGACCAAGTTTATCACAAGTTGCATAAAGCATGTTGATAGCTTATTTAGTGTTCAAGATATTGACTAATGAACTTCAAAAGTGGGGTGGCTCAGCACATAAATGGACCAAACTGCGCCACAAATGCAATAGATGGGCATGGCATAACACAAATCATACTAAAAATCCAAAAATCATTTCTCTAATCATTTCAAAACTCACAGGATATTTTTCCGCTTACTAAATTTGAAATTATGTTTGTAAATTCATTTTTCAATAATTCAAGTTATTATTAGAATGTGTGATAATGTTCTGTAGAAATGATGTGGTCCTCTCTCCTCCTCTCATTATGTGATCAGCAATTCTCAAACAAAAACTTCATCTTTGTGTTTCAGTGTTTTCTGTTGATTTCAATGCAATTGTGTTTTGTCACTACGTAGAATACGTATGTGCAATGTACATACATACAAAAATAAGTAGTAGTAGTCGTCTGGTTTGTTTGAAGTAAGTTGTCGGTTGCAATTCGCTACCCTCACCACTAGATGCCAATAAAGCTTACACACTGAACCTTTAAGCCTTTTCTTAGACACAGCATGGTGGCTAGTAGAGGAACTACAGCTTTAAAGACATGTCTGTCAAATTCAGCCACCCTTAGTTGCCATCTGTTGTCTCGTAGCCTTGCTGTAGCTCCTCACTATTAAAAGCACTGTGTATCAAAACAGTGGCCATATTCAGACAGGCAAAAGCACTGTGTGTGCCGAAGATAAAATATTTGCCCCTCTTTCCAGAGATGTAAAATCCTGTCTCACAGTATAAAAAGCAGAGTCAGGATGTAGTGTCTGATAAGCCTTATGGATCTGTTACTCAAACTGGACTTCTTGGATCTTATTTCACATCTCATCGGTAGCACAGCCCCTTGTGCAGCTTCAGTGGTATGCTGATTTCTGTCTGTCCATATATTTTCCCTATCTAACAACATGTTTGAAGTGGTTTGACTTAATGATCTCGCTGTCATCATCAGTGAATCAGTGTGACAACGCCATTCACTGATGAGAGTAAGGAAGTAAACTTTGAGTTAAGATTATTTTTGCCAAAGCTACTATTCCCAAGGTCGAGAATGGACATCCATTACTATGTCTGAAAAGATTCATTGGAATTCCAAAGGTTCCATTTCATAGTAACGGTATATCATCTGCTCCATTACCTTTCCTCTGCGTGTAATCCCGTTCTGTAAGGGTTCTTCTGAGACGTCTGACTTCTCCTGAGAGTCCATGCTGCACCGTGTCGAAACTGCCTGGTGCTGCCCCTCATTCTGGTTTTCCCAGCGGGCAAAACCTTTATTTTTAGATGTTTTCCTGTGACCCCTGTATTTCATTTTGGGGAAGGTGTGGGAGCCACCGTCTGTGGCCCCCCAGCTGTGTTCAGACCACAGGGGCTCGGTCTGAGTGGCCTGGCTGGTGGTAGCCCTCTGCAGGCGCACAGAGATCCTCTGGGCTGAGCCGGTCATCAGGGTAATGGATTGAGTGTCCGGAGCTGGACCTGCTGATGTTACAGCTGGGAACTCAAAGACCTCGTCCTCATCTGGGGAATAAAGAAACTTGTGAACAAATCGATCAAGTATATGGTATAAATCCTGGTGTGCTAAAAAGAGTTATTACAGTGGCTTCTCATCAAATTCTGGTATGTAAAATAAAAGCTCAGATGTAACTACAATTTACTTTAAATGTATAAATCCATTTTTCTGTGCAGTTCGTTTGGCCTTGTTCAGTAAATGTCTGTAGCTGAGAATGACCTTTACAGGTGGGCAGTGCGGGGCTGCTGGGCAGTGAGCTGTGGGTCAGTCTGGCTGGAGAAACACTGCCCAGAGAGCTGGAGCGGATCAGCTTCCTACAGGCCAGAACCAGCAGCTCCCGACATTGTTTATGACAGTTAACGCCACAGTCTGTAAAGTAAATATAGACACATCAACTGACATACAGGGCAAAACTTCAAGACAGGCAGATAATGTTACTTTGGTCTTGATTGCCAGATGGGAAGCATGGTCTGTATGAAAATCCAAAGCATCAGGGCAGTTGAACTGAAAGATGTTTCCAGTTTCACATTTCTTAAAGTGTCAGTTCTCTCAAATTGGCCCAATGCCTGAACAAATTATCCTAATCTGCATAACTATTCCACTGGGGTAAATGAGAAAATATGCTATTTATAATTAGGTTGAAGTGTTGATGGTAGTGTTTGGCTTACTAAAATGAAATTAATTTAAGTTATTTTATTTCCTGATCAGTAAAATTCTGTTTTTTACAACATTAGATTGTTCCATATACTGTTACTGTATATACTGTATACTGTGCATCTTATCATAACTGTATCTATATGTTTGGCTATATTTCAATTTTCCATGCCTCTTTCAGGTGGCAAATACTAAACTACTTCTAAAAGAAGGTGCTTTTGCTTTAACATTGGTTTATATCAAGGTAAACTAAAATTTAACAGGCTATCATTTGTATTGCTCATTCATCTTTCAAACTTAGATGTCCATAACATAATCAGTCCCTCCAGGATTTTGCAATTACAACTATTAACACAAATTCCAAAGATCCCAGTGAATTCAGCGCGACTTGCAATTTTGACCAATCATCACTGTTTCCGGCGAAACGTGCAGTACTGTGATCGAACATAAAAGGAAATCGTCTACTGACCAACAAACAGCAAAACAACACAGAGGAGACAAATCACTGTGACACAGGCAAACATTGAAGGAATCAGGGTGAGTCAGTTTAAATATGCAGGGTTACAACAAAATCGCATCTACCTTTGCAGCTTTCACTTATTCCCACAATTTCATAGTAAAAAATGCCCAAGAAGATCACAACTTTCAGTGCAATTTTTTACAAAACCTTGTGCAAAATCAGGCATTTTAGGCCGAAACAATGTACACATCACACCTGACAAAGTGTCTTTCTTTAGATGACTGGCCCAGTATTTATGCTTTCAAGTAATTTTACATTTTTTGCAAAATTCTTTAGATAACAGCAGGACATACATCATCACAATATCTGCTATTCATCTGTTTTTTTAATTAATCCTTCATTTATTAACTTATTCAATATGTAGCTTTAAATCAAAGGCCTCACTTAATCCATAAGAAATTGTCATTTTACTTGATGCAGAAGACAAGGTCAACCTATCGAAAGAATTCAATTACTTAAGAGACTGATCAAATTAATAATTGTGTTTTGATTGATATAGTTTAATTTCCCTGTTATTTTTTTTTTTTTTTTTTTTTAAACCTGTCCTGCCCAGCAGCCTGGTATAGAGTATAATGACCTGGATACCATATTGTGCCAGACAGATTTTACTTTAACAAGAGAGTATTAAAATACTCCTTTGTCTGTTTTATTATTTATTTAATTATGTATTGATTTGTCACCGGGCCGGACAGGGGGGCAGACACGGGGATGGGGGGGCACAAACAGACAGCACAGAGAAAGGACAACACCTGCAAGAGAAGGGGGAAAGGGGGATGGAGGGTGGGGACAACAGGGAAAAGCTGTGGGAAACACCAATTGCAGAAAGCAACGAAACCTGCAAGAGAACAGAGAGGGGGGCTTGGGGAGGAGAAAAACAACAACAAACAAACACAAACAAAAAAAACAATAAAAATAATAATAATAGTAAAAGAAAACCAGCCGAACAGCAGCAATAAACAGCTGACATATTAATGACATATTAAGACAACTAAGAGAACAATGAAAACAAGAAACAGTCACACACACTAAATAAGCAACACAACACAGCCACGAGAGCTGGAATAATAATTAATTTAAATAAGTAACTGAAAGAAAGGCATCAGGAATAATTCTACCAGGGACAACCTAAGTTTGTTTGTGTCTGTGTGTGTCTGTGTGCGTGTGGGTGAATGTGTCTGTATGTGTGTGTATGTACATGTGTGTGCGCATAAGCCTGTTAAAGAATGTAGTTGTTAGAGAGAGTGGGACGCCACGACTGTAACAGGCAGGCAAGAACCCCAGTAGCCAATAGGGTGGAAGAAAGAAAAAGAATAAATCAAATCAAAAAAAAACAAAGACTCCCAGATGCACCGCGATGCAAACGCAGAAGACCCCGACCCAAATGCCAGTTGACAACGTAATGCCGACGGAACGCAAAAGAGGAAGAGCAGCGCCCGGACCGACCGCGTCGCAGACACAACATAGACCAGTGGCCTCCCCCATCCAGCACCCCACCGCCGCGCAGCAAACAACCACAATGCCCAAATGCCACGCAATCATCAACACCAATGCACAAGTGACGAGCCCAACGCGCACACTGCGCGAGCACGGCGACACCCATGCCCAGCAGCCCCCCGCGAATCCCGCGTGCGAGGTCGGGCAAATGAGAGAGAGCAAACGGAACAACACGACAGCGAAAGCCAGCGGAGAGAGACACCAGCAGCAAGCCCCAGCCCGGCAGCAAACGCGCCGCACAGGTCACCGTGCACCCGCCAATAAAAGTCCACCGTCCCCCCAACTGCCGGAAAAAACTAAGGCCGCCGGCGCCAGCCGACATCCCCCATGCCCAGCGCGCCCCCCGGCCGCCATGCAACACCAGCCAAACCAGCAACGAGGCAAAATCAACTAGCTCAGCTGCATGCCACCAACAACCCACCCATCCATCAAGGGCCGAGAACTCCAGGCACAAACCCAGAACAAACCGGAGCACAGCCCTGCCCCGCACCCACACTGCACATCCCGAAAACTAACTATATACCTCAGTATCCAGAGGGGTCCAACAACTGGCCGACAGAGAAATGGGCAAGCACGGATCCGAGGCCAACGAAGCAAAACAGGAACGCAAACAGGTCCCTCCAAGCCAACGAGGAGATGCCTCCCCCGGACTCCAACGCACAAACTAAACGCCCAGCAGCCATCCAGAGACCCTGCCCAGGGAAAAAGTATAATACATCAAGATGCATCGATAATCGTCCCACAATCCCACCGCAGACCCCCACCCCCAGAAGCCAGGACACCCTGCGACCCCCCAAAGCGCAAAGGACCCCAGACCGCATGTCCAGGGGAAGCTGTACCCCGCCCCAAGGAAGAACAGCAGAAAGCCGTGCCGGGAAGCTCGCTACCGCCAGGGAGCGATAACGCGGGAGAACCAGGCCAACGGTCCCCCAGCCCAGCCAGAGGCATCCCTCCCTACAGTGCAGCCAGTGACAGCAGCCCCCGAGGCCGATTTCATCCCCGGACAGGGGCCCAGCCCCCCCAGTCAAGCACCCCCAAGGAGGAGCACCAAAACCTACCCCGACAGCACCGGTCATGCGCCCCAGAGACTCCCGAATGCCCCCACCGTGAGAGAGCTGGCAGGGGGAAGCAGCGGGAGCCTCACCTCTGCCGAAGAGGGCCCAGGCGAGGAGAGGAGACAACGGGCCCCCAGGCCCAGGGACACACCACCCGCCCAGAAATGAGCAAAGGCCACAAGCCCGAGTCCGCAGAACCCTAGGCCAAGGGCGGGCCCCCACGCCAGGGGAGCCCCGACCCCCCCCAGCCCACCCCAGATCAGGCAAGGCCGCCACCAACCCCACAGCACCCCCAACGCCCGGGGCTCCAGGGGTAGGACACGAGGCCAATGAGAATCTCTCCCACTCCTTCAACCCCTCTGCCTGCCTCTGTAAATGTATTGTTTTGTGTTGGATGCATGTCATGGATTGTGAAGTGTTGTATGGTGGAGTGAAGATAAGGTGTGTGGTAACTAAGGTGCAACTAAAATTGGAGGGTAGTTGTGACACAGGCACCCCACAACTGTCAGGTAGTGGAGCCTCCCATCGTGCCCCTCCCACCCCCCAAGCCCTCTGTGTCTAATGTGTAATTAAAATTGAGGGACAGGCAGTGAGGGAGGAAGAAGTGCGAGGCCGCAATAAAGCAGCCCCACCCCCCAAACGCCCTGCAGGCTGCCCGTCCCCCAGGATCCTAAGGGTGTATGTTGTGAGACATGACCAAAGGGGAAAGGTGAAGGAGGTCATAGGGAGGCTAGAAGACCAGATTCCTGACTGGCCCCATCATTTATTCAGTCCCGTCCCCCACCCCCCTAAGCAGGAGGACGCCAGGTCCCTCCAGCCCAGGGCTTATAGCAAGAGCCCCTCTAGCACCGGTAGCACCCCAGAGTCAGTGACAACCCCGCCCATCCCCAGGACGGGCCCAGGGGGGCCCAGCCCCCCCAGCGCGCAGACCCGCCCCAGACCCAGAGGCTCCAAAGCCCCGTGCCCCAGACCCCCACACACTCCAGAGGCAGGTCAGTGCAGCCCCAACCCAAAGTCCAACAATCCCCCGTCCTCGCCGGGGCCCCTCCGGCAGCCCCACTGCTAACCCCTCACCTCACCGCTCCCCCACAATCAGCAGCACTCCGAGCACCACCAGCCCCCAAGGGAGCAGGTCCGGGGCAGCAAGGACCCCACCCAAGGACAGAACGGCCCAACAGCCCAGATCCGAAGGTCGGCCCACACCCAGGAGGCAATGCCACACAGGCCAGGTCAGGCCAGAAGACCCCCACCCCCGCTCCCTTCCCTCCCTAGCAGCGAAGCATCCCACACACAAACCCCCACCGTCCCCAAAGAAAAGAGACAGCAATCACCCCGCGACAGCAGCAACAGCCCCTCAGCCCTAGGGAGTCAGCAGATGCAAATAGCCCCTAGGACTCAACACGACCACACTCCAGAGGGCCGCGACGCGACTGCAAGCAACCATCGACACACCCCAAAGCACAATCCCTCCATACACAGGATCCCGGCACAACCACCAAGCATCCAGTCCGGGCACTAAAATCCAGAGGAGACACCCCCCAACCAGCTCAAAAAGGACCAGCCCGCACCCCCAACCCACCCCGTCAACCCCTTCTTCCCGGTCCCCCACCCCTCCAACAACCAGTCGCCAGACCCCTCAGAGAACC